TACAGCATCGGCAAAGACGATAGCCAGTTACATCCACATTAAACCAACTCAACAATTATATCTATGATTTCTTATCTCTATACTAATTACATAAATACATCTTATATACATCCTTCATATGATTCATGTTAGTTGGTAGAAACAGTTGCGTACATGGTAAACTCGCTACCTCGAATAAAAAAATTAAAAAAAAAATAAAAAAAATATATCGCGCGGCGGACAATGGTATTTCTCTCCATTTGATCTGTTAAAAAATTAATTACATTTATGTATTTTATGTCGTTTTCGTGTGCCGACACGACGCTTTTAAATAAGGGTAACTGAACGATTGAAGATCTCAAGATATAGCCGAAAAGCGTTACAATCAAGCATTAATCAGCATAATTCCGTTAAATGCCAGGCTTCTACACACAACTGAACTTGACACCTGAAAATTTGACAGCAATGTAAATTCTGAGATGAGGATATCTTTCAGACATTTTTACATATTCACAATAGTGTTAATTATCCTTATGATTTTAAAACATGAAATTTTCATCATGTTAATAAATATCGCAAGTTTACAATTACCTTTGACATAAATTTTTCAAGAAATTCTTTCTTTGACTATTTGGAGAACAATATGTATTTTATTATTCTTGGAATCAATACGCGCACGATCATATTCAATTCAGTCTAAATAAAATTATATGTTTGTACCATCGTCACTGGAGTAGCAGTTATGGCAGTGAAGCTTGTGATTTCGGACACGCACGTCTGTTCCCATCAATCCATCGCCGAGACGCACATGGCATACGCAACACTTGAAACACTCCATATGATAGAACAATCGTAGACTCTCAATTATCATCGCAGCGCCTCGACCTAAGATCGTCAGGATATTTATAATGATGACAAAATGTTTTAGTTTTAATTTGCTAAATTACCTAATTCTTCTCCGCAATGAGAACACTTCTTTTTCCCGCTCACGCTTAGCATTTTTTCTTGATTCCCGTTACTATTTGCGATAGGCGCATGCTGTGTTTTCTGAGACTGTAACGTATACTGTGGCGATTGATGTTGCACAGTTAAGTGTTCTTGATTGTGAACTGGCTCTGGCCTAAAAAGATGAGAACATTCTTTCACGTAAAACATAAAAAACAAGACTTAATAGAATAGAAAATTTATATGTGTAAATTTAAATACAAGTGAAAAAATTAAAAAGTTTTATATCTTTTTCTCACTACTAGAAAATAAAAATAACATTTTTATTATTCATAAAATAAATCCTTTCGTCGAATATTAAATTCACCTTCGTCTTGTTAGAAGAGGTTTCTCTTGCGTTTTATTTTGTACCCTTTGCGTCAGAGTTTGTATAATAGAATCAGGCAGCGGTTTGCTATCTGTCCGAGTTGGAGCATTATACAGTACGGAAGTTCCAGTTACATGCGGTTGAGATTTTCGTGCCGGTGATCGCTGATTTCTCTCATTAATCCTTCTCTGTTCCGCCTCCTAAGAGAAAAATATTGAAATAGTAAAATTTATCTATATCTTATATATTCTATTATATAATATAAATATTTGAATATCTTGTTTAAAACTTTAGTAGAATATATGATAAAAATTGAAATTATTCAATAATTAAATTATACAAAAAATAAAATCTAATAACAATAAATTATTTTTTCTCAACATTTTTGTAATAACTTAATTATAGAAAAAATTATGGAGTTATGCAGGAAATAATTTGTCAATTAATAAAAATAATTTTATTAATACGTTAACACATACTTGAATAAGCCAATGTTGATAATTCACATCATGAGCACCTCTTGGCACGTCACTTTTTCTTCGCTGGACCCATTGATCACCTTGAACAATTCGTGGACGTGGTGCTGCACTTAATGCTTGTAAAGTTTGCCTGGACATTTGCTGACCAGCATGACTCCCGAGTGTTGTTGTCGATGCACTTTCCCGAATCGATGCGTCTACTTGTTGAGGAATCGAATCCGCCGACGGTATACGACTATTTCTACACATTTCCAATTAAATAAAAAAATTTAATAATTCTAATTATCATAGTATTCTATGTGACCTGTTTTGTTTTATATATACATATACATATAATATACATATACATATATAAAACATATAAATATATAAATATAAAATTATTTTAATTTATATGTATACCGTACAAATATTCGTTATATGAATATAGCAAAAAAATCTTATACGTTTCATACATTTTATAAATATTGAGAGCACACACATTAATGTATAATATGATTTATTATTGTATTTACCTGATTGTAACATCTCTCTGTCGTTGATCTAACATACGTGGTTTAGAAAGAGAAATTGGTGGTGGTGGTGGTGGTGGTCTTCTTCTTGGCGCATCTTGAAACTGTAAGTTTGGCATTGAAGATCTATAATTCACTGTAGGCGCATGATATTTGTATTGTTGCGTATTTTTAATTGAATTCTGTGCAACATCTTGCAAAGATTTCCACTGTTCCTGTAACTGCTCTGCTAATCTAAGTTGCTTTTGTTCACGATAGGCCAAATTACTGCGTTGTCTCTTTAATTCTTCCTGTTCCAATTGCAAAAGTTCTCTTTCCACTCGTAGCACTTCCTATAGGGATAACATATAATATTTCTAATTGTACTGGTCATCTTTGCCTGATATATTTTAAATAGAGATAAAGATTTTGAATTGATTTTAATTATTTTCATTTAAATAAAAATTGTTATTGTTAAAATAATAAAATTCTTAAAAATTTTTAAATTCATAAATACATTTAATTCAAAATATTATTAAATCTTGTTATCTTTGCGATTCTACAATCTATAGACTTAATTTTAATAAATATAACAATAAAGACTTCCTTTTATCTTATTGATCTATAATATACTATTATACAAAAAGAGAGCAAATCAAATCAAGTTAAAATTAGTTAAGATATTCTAGAAAAGATATTTAAGAGATAGATAATGAAAAAAGATAGAATTACTATATTTATATAAAAAGTCAGTGCAAATAAGCAACTAAAACAATGGTGAAGACAACTGTTGTCTTACCCCGGAAGGGAATTCATCTTCGTTGTTGCTCAACCCAGCACCGACCAATGCCTTGCTCTGCGAATAATTAGCAACGAGATCCCTCTATCAATATTTACACTACAATATATACTTGATTTGCACCATACTACTGAATAATCAAATCCTTTGGGCAATGTTACAATAATAAAAATATAACTGCCACATAA